TCCGCAGTGTTTTACATAGTGCAACCTATTTGATTCCTGTAACAACTTACACATGTATATCATAGGTTTTCTTCTGAATGCTTCCATCATCTGCTGGAGCATGGATAAAACCAGAGATAATGCTTCCACGTTATTCTATCTCTGAGGGAGATGGGCAGTTCAGAAATGGAAATATAAAAAAAATATTTCATCTCTACTTGGTGAAATTGCATCGTTTTCATGTACAGACACACCTTGATGTAACAGGGAAAAAAATATTTGGTTTCTACTAAGGTTTTAGTCCATTTGTAGGCTGTAGGAACCTGAAGAACAGTAAGAGTAGTAGTAGTGAGGGAGTTGACTGAAGGATTCAGAAAAAGAAATGTCCACTGCGTTTTATCAACTGAAGTTTCTGCTTGATTGTAGTCTTTTCTCAACACTAAATAGAAAGTGCAAGAGCGCCCTCTAGTTTTACAAAATCATAGAGTTGAACAAGGTTGTTTAGGCCAGTGGTTGTTAACCTGGGCAATATTGGCCCCCAGGGGGTGATTTCGTTTTTCAGGGGGGCGATGGAATGAAAAGGGGCAATGCAGGGTGAAGGAATGGAAGGGGGGGCCATATGGGGGCAATGGAGCAAGAAATTTTGGGGACACTTTTGAGACTTTTTTCATACAGTGAACCACTGTATACCTGTCGTACAAAAACATCAGATCGCTCCCTGTTAGTGGATTGAACTGTATTTTAAAATGTTCCTCCAGCTAGCTTCAGTACAGAACGCCATACATATGTGAATACGCATCGCTCATCTTCATGCGCGTTGCGCAGCAGCTTCTATCACTCTTACCCATTAAATTTGTCGCTGATTTTTGTTTCTTTCCTTCTGTAAAAATTTTCTTTGTATCTTTTTAACCCTTTTTACAGTGTGCATGAATATAGATTTTCCTCCAATCTTAATTTAGTTTCAGAGTTTTCATCTTGAAATTCTTAGTTCCTACATTGTGGTTTGTTCTTATGCCCTTTTTATATTTCTTTTTGCGTCTTAAAATTCACTTGTAATTAAATCATTAAATGTTACTGTTTTGGGGGGGCATTTCATTTTCTTGCAATTGAATTTTGTTTTCAGTGGTCACTGCATTTAAGTGTCTTGAATAAATAAGATAATAATGAAATACATGTATCACGAAGTTTGGGAGTAAAGTGATGGGTGGCATCAGAATTTTTCACACAGTTGAGATATGGGAAAAAGACTGGAAATAAATTATTTGCATTGACATGTCCTGATGACAATTTTAAAGAAAACAAAAAATGTGTTTGCATAAATTGAAGAATTATTTCCCTGTGCTGTGATTAAGAGGTTATGTTGGGGGAGGGGGGCGATGATAACTTCCTCAATGGCTCAAGGGGGCGATTCTTTCAAAAAGGTTAAGAACCACAGGTTTAGGCTATCAGCTGGAACTCCAATGCAGGAATCCAAACGAAAGTTTACATATTTATTTACTAGTATTAAGTGTATATGCTGCCCATGTCACTACTGAAGTCATTCTGGACAGCTTACAGAATGATAAAAAGATGATATGCAACAATTAAAATTAGGAAAGATTAATTAGAGGCTAAAACCCAAGAGGACAAGTGGCAGGAGCGTGAGGATCTTCTCTCTACCCCATCAGCCACCGGTAGTACAGAATATTCCGAATTTTAACTGGAGGGGTCCAATTCTTTGACAGACCAAAGTAGGCCTTTTCTGCTGGATGGGCCAATCCCACTGGGGCAAGATGGCTCCTCAGATACCCTGGCCCTCTTCCTTGATCCTGCCATTCAGAATTCTCTGATGGGATCGGTAGCATGCTTTCCTTACCTGAACAAGTAGGATGGGCTGATGTGATGGGGTGAAGCCAGTTCTGTAGGTACTTATAAAGCCCTACTTATTCCATGTAGGGCTTTATAGGTAATGTCCAACAAGTTGTCTTGGATCTGGAAGCAAACTGGCACAAGTGCAGTTTTCAGACATATGTGTCCTTTGGGCACCCAGTATAGCTCATGCAGCCATATTCCGCACCAGCTGAAGCTTCCGGATACTTTTCAAGGGTAGCCCCAAGTAGTGTATGTTGCAATAGTCCAACCGGGAGATGACCAGGGCATGAGTGACTGAGTGGAGAGCCTCCCTATCCAGGAAGGGACATAATTGATTCACAATATGAAATTAGGAAAAGGCCCTCCTGGCCATGGATGTACCTGCTTTTTGAGCAGGAACTGTGAGTCCAAAAGGACCCCCAAATTAAACACTGGGTCTGTCTGGGGTAGTGCATCCACAACCAAAGATGAACTCCCGGACACAGAAGGGTCTACCCATAACCACTCCATCTTATCAGAGTTCAATTGAAGTATGTTATTCCTCTTCCAGAAAACCGAGGCATTGCCAAAGATATATCATATCCCTCACTTCACCTGGGTTGGAGGTCTGTAACTGGGTAACATCAGTATATTGGTGATACTAGATCCTGTGGTGATGGATGTTCTCACCCAGCGGATTCATATAGATGGCAACCCTGTGGCTGGACCTCTCACTCCCTATTAACACTGACTGGCACCTTGGAGGAAGGTGAACCAACATAAAACTGTGTCACCCATCCCTAACTTCCCAAATCAGCCCAAAGGGATACCATGCTTGGTAGTATTGAAATCCATTGAGAAGTCAGGGAGAGGAAGGATGGATGCATCACCTCCATCCTGCTTCCACCAGAGATCAACCATGAATGTGAACAATGCATTTGGTCCCATATCTGGACCTGAAACCTGATTGAAAAAGGTCTAGATCAGCTGTCTCAAACTCAATTTACCTGGGGGCCGCTGGAGGCAGAGGCTGGGTGAGGCTGGGCCACATAAGGGATTCCACAAAAAACGTTAAAAAAATATCCTCAAATGCCGCACTAATATTATACTTTCATATCACGGTGGGGGCCACAGAATATTGTCCTGCGGGCCGTAATTGGCCTGCAGGCCGCGAGAATGAGACCTCTGGTCTAGATAATCTGTTTCCTCCAGGGTCCTCTGGAGGTGCAATGACATCACTTTCCTTTCCTTTTTACCTATCATGAAGAGTCAGTTTGAATTCTATAGAATAGAATAGAATACCTTTATTGTCATTGCATTCTACAAATACAATGAAATTTGAAAGCTACTCCAGCATAGTGCCCCAAACACCACATCAGAATCACACTACAGAGTATTTAAAAATTAAAATAATTAAATAACAACAACAATAAAATAATAATAATAATCAACCTAGTCTAAAACCTATCTAAAATATATAGTAAGTTAGTTTAAAAATGCCACAATATACATAGGGCTAAATCACAAATGCATTGTTTGATTCAAGACAATTATTGCCTTGGAAAAGAAACTGTTTCTCAGTCTATTAGTCCTCATTTTAAGACACCTATAGTGTCTCCCTGATGGTAACAGTTCAAAATATGAATGACCAGGATGTGAACGGTCTGCGGAGATTTTTAGTGCTCTAGAGTCTGGTCTTCGCAATCTCTTCCAAAAAAGAGAGCAACCGATGATTTTTTGTGCTGTGTTTATAATTCTCTGGAGCATCTTCTTATCCACTACAGAGCATCCAGCATACCACACCATTACACAGTATGCCAAAATGCTCTCAATGGTAGAATGGTAAAAAGTAACCAGCAACTTCTCACCCAGACCACTCTTTTTCAGCAGCCTCAGAAAGTGCAGGTGCTGTTGGGTCTTCTTTGCAGTGGCCATAGTGTGGAGCGACCAAGTAAGGTTGTCGGAAATATGAACTCCTAGAAACTTAAAACTATGAACTCTTTCCACACAATCTCCATTGATATATAGTGGGAGGGCTCTGCTTTGTATTGTCTGAAGTCTATAATCAATTCTTTGGTCTTTTTGATGTTCAGGGCGAGGTTATGACTCTTGTACCACAAGACCAGTCTGAGAACCTTTGACCGTTAGGCTGTCTCGATTTCGCGTGATATGAGTCCCACCAATGTGGCGCCATCTGCAAATTTTATTATAGAGTTAGTGGGACAAGAGGGAGTGCAGTCGTAGGTGTAGAATGAATACAAAAGGGGGCTCAGCATACAACCCTGTGGAGAGCCAGTGCTGAAGCAAGAGTGGAGGAAAAATAGCTGCCAATCCTAACAGGTTGGGGTCTGTTAGTAGGAAAGTCCTTTATCCAACAGCAGATGTGAGAGGAGAGGCCCATTTGTAGCAACTTCTTAAGAAAAAAACAAAGGGGTTTTTTTTTGGCTACACATACATTAATGCTTGAACAATGGGAAAACAGGTGGATGACTGGTTTCAAATTTACACTTATAATCTGAAAGAAAATGTTTACAAGGTGATTTATTGTTGGCATTTAACACTTGATAAACTGTCAAAGGTGTACAGTATAAAACTGCCTCAAATGTACACTGAAAATGTTACTGTAAAGAAGGAATTTCTTATCATCTTGATTGGATTTGTGTCAAAGAAATATTGGGGCCAGACTCTATTTTAATGCAGAATATTCTTAAAAGGAATATAAAATTTAAACAAGAAATCCCAAAGGTGCTTTTTCAAGAGGCAACTGGATTTTATGGTTTTTCTTTGAAGACATTTCACTTCTCATCCAAGAAGTTTCTCCAGAGCTGAAACAGCTTCTTGGATGAGAAGTAAAACATTTTTTAAAAGACCAAAAACCCCTCAAACAAACCCAAAACCAAAAACAAAACAACCCTCAAAAAGTCCTGTTGCCTCTTGAAAAGCACATGACCTATAGATGACTGAGAATCTCCACAGACATTTAAAAACTAGAAGCTTTCCTTTTAATATTATTGGATAAGGAGCAGTGAAAAAAAGGAACTTCGTTATTATATATGTTAACTACATCTGAGCATTCCAGATGCACAAAAATGAAAAAAAAAAGTCAATCTCCACAACGAGATGGAAAAAGGGATGGACCGAGCAGAGGTGAACTGTCAAAATGAACTGTTACAATCAGCCATCTCATTTTGTTTCTACCGGGAAACTGTGTCTGGATTTTCTGCATAACATAAAACATGAAAATTTTGTTCTGCCCATTAGATAAATTTGTTACTCTATAAATCTATTTACTAAATATGGCCAGACCACAAGTGCAAATTAGTCCGCTACCCGGCAATATGGGCGTTCCCCGCGTCGTTATAAAGCAAAACGCAGAGTCACCATCGCCCGGTCACTTGTCCCCGGTACCCTCCGCTCTCAGGAGAGGAAGGAGGGAGGAGGCAGCTCACAGCTCGGGCCGGGACGGGTCCTGGAAGAAACTTAAGGCGGGAGAGAAGAGCGGCGGTTCCAGTTCTCCTCATGGGGCGCTACACGGGCAAAACGTGCCGGCTGATCTTAATGCTAGTCATGACAGCGAGCTTCTTCGTGGCCGAACTGGTGTCGGGCTACGTGGGCAACTCCATCGCGCTGGTCTCCGACTCCTTCAGCATGCTCTCCGACGTGCTCGCTCTCTGCGTGGGCCTCGTCACAGGACGCCTGTCTCACCAACGCCGAAGGTGTCCCGGCGCCTCTTACGGCTGCGGACGGGCCGAGGTGGTGGGCGCCCTCTGCAACGCCGTCTTCCTGGCCGCCCTCTATTTCACCATCCTGATGGAAGCGCTGCAGCGCCTGGCGAGGCCGGAATCCATCAGCAACGCCACGCTTATCCTCGTGGTAGGCGCGATCGGTCTGGCCGTCAATCTCGTGGGACTCCTCGTCTTCCAGGACTGGGCCTGCTGCTGCGGTCGAGGGTCGCCGCCCCCACCCATTTTGAGCCCCGAAGACGAGAGCCCAACCCGAACCGTCGCTAGCAGCTCGGTCGCCTTAGAGGGGATGGTGGAAATGAGCGGCCACGCCGCTGAGCCCAGCCCGAAAGCAGGTGCCACCCGGTTGCCTCTCTGCTCGCCGTTCGCAGCATCTTCCTTCCTCCCTCCCTCCCCTTTCAGCTGCCTTTTTCCTTTTTCTCTAGTTCCCCCCCACCCAATTTCCGCCTTCTCTATTGTTTCACCGTTTTCTCTTTGCCCTTTAAGGATTTCTTGGCTCATAATTTTTATCCTTCCTTTTCTTATTTCCCATTTCCTTTTGAAAAGTGTTGCGTTGCACGTGCTTCTTTCTGCTAATTCTTATTCATTCTTTTCGGATTATTCCATTTGCCTGTTGGCTGTGAGTTCGATCCTAGGTAGAGGCTAATAGTTGGAATAGACTCTCCTGCTCTAGCAGGGGGTTGGACTAGATGACCTCCAGGGTCCCTTCCAACTCTGTTATTCTATCTTCTGTGTTCTGTTCTTATTTATACCTCTCATTCCTACTCTTTTACATTACATTACATAATATTACATTACTCATTACATTGCATGTACAGTATAATAATGTATTGGCAGAGTACTTGTATAATAATTTATTATTGAATAAAGTCAGAGAAATAATTGTATTTGTAACATTAAAGTAGATAAACAAAAGCAACCTTTGTGTCAATTAGTGTTTGTTTTGACAGTCTTTTGATACTATAAATTATTTTTTTCTAAACTACAATAGTAGAGAAGAGATTTCAGAATTAATTAGATATCAGGTTGTATAAGGTGGTCTTTATGAATATTAAACAAATCCATTCAATTTTGCCCCATTGCTTGCTTGGCTTGTAATTATACTACACTTTGCATGTAGAGTGTGTGCAAGCGTGAGTCATAAGTAACTTGCTGGTTCTGAATGATTAAGATAAGTTGGTTTTGAAAAGTTTTGTATCTTTCTCTGTATAGAGCTTATACACAGCATTTCTTCTTTGAATGCAGGTGATTCTACGGATACCCAGAAAACCCCCAAAGAGGATCAGAAACAGAAAACAGAAAAAAAGTCGGAAGCCTTGAACATCAGAGGTACTATATTAGAGTTGAAAGATTTTTCCAGAGTAAGGCAGCCATAATTAGAGATGAACTGTTCTTATTTATAGTTCTATAAGTGTTCTTATTTATAGTTTGGTATAAGTTTATACCAAATTTTGGAATCTTAATGTATTCCAATGTAGTTATCCAGTTTTTTTCTGTTTACCTAATGTTTTCCTTATGCTTTGTTTCAGGTGTTCTTTTGCATGTGATGGGAGATGCTCTTGGCTCAGTTATTGTTGTGGTTGCTGCTTCCATATTCTATGTACTTCCTCTGGATGAGAACACACCTTGTAACTGGCAGTGTTACATTGATCCGAGCCTGACCATTGTTATGGTCTTTATCATACTGTCTTCAGCCTTTCCACTTATCAAGGAGACGGCAACCATTTTGTTGCAAATGGTCCCCAAAAATGTGAATATGCAAATATTGGGTAAGTTACTTTAAGGACTGTTATGACCCTTAAAAGCTGGTGCAGTTTCTGGATTATACATTCACGGCAGCATTACATGCTCAAGGCTCACACGGTGGTATTTCCTAGCAACATGACTCAAGTCTTAGAGGATTAATAAAGGCACATACAGTATTTCGAGAACAGCCCACAATAATGAAGCAGAAACTCTTATACATACTTGTAGCCATTTGTAGTCCATAACTGCTAATATAAATAGATTGGTTTATTGTTTTGCATTGTGGATTACAATCTCATACACACACACGTGTATGTGTGTGTTGTTATGGTTGATTTTGTTTTTGAATTCACTCCTCTGAATCTGGAAATTTGGAATGAGATTTGCTTGCTGAATCAATCCACATTTTGTATGAAATATATCAACATGTGCATCCTTCAGTTTTTTGAAGGATATACTCCAAAGCAGCACTGAAATAAAAAATTTCAAACATACTACATACTACAAACATACTACATATTGATACTGTTTTTGCCCAGTTTTACTGGGTCATTTGATCTTATGACAGTTCATCCAGTTCCCATTCAGCTCCCAGAATTCTCAAACCACTTGCCCTACATTATTGTACAACCTGGAAAAGTTATGATCAGGTTCTTATTCTGTGCATTTGAAGAGGCATTCTTTGTGTTTGTAGATGCAGTTAAATATTAAATGGAATACTACAGAACCTGGATAAAAATCTGATTTTCACCTTTTGTATTTCTTCTTCTTCCTAGCAAACAAATTATTGGCGGTGCCAGGCGTTAGCAGCATTCATGAGCTGCATGTCTGGGAATTTATCAAGGGGAAGAACATTGCCACACTCCATGTCAAGTGTCACTCTACTTCTGACTACCCTATTGCTTCCTACAAAATCAGGGAGGTGTTCCATGAAGAAGGGATCCATTCGGTGACCATCCAGCCAGAGTACCTAGAACACAATTGTCCTAAGGTCCTGTGCAGTACACCATGTATCTCCAGATCCTGTGATCCTCAGTTGTGCTGCAACCAGCAGGATGCTCTTCTTTCTCAGATGAATGGTTACAGTGAAACAATAGGCAGCTTTTCTCCATCACTGAAGAAGGTCTTCCAAAAAAAAGATGCCATAGAAATTCCTGTTGAACCCACGTGGGCTGAAGACATGGACAAAAAGAACAGTTGCTCCAAGGACAGTTATAAAGAAAAAAATGAAAGCATTCCACAAATAAATAGCACTCGATTTTAGACTTTAGGGTAAATATATTCTAAATTCTTTTGTCTCAAAAAGAAAGTTGGGGAGTTTCCTTGTACAAAGCTTCCTTTGGTTGAAAAAGAAGTAGCTGTTGGCGAGTGTTTGCCATGTTTCTGGGAGGCAGCAGTTGAAAGTTGAATATCAAGTTGAATACCAACTAAAACAGAGGCCATTGGTTTCTTCTAAGGTCTAGTTGAAATGGGCAGCCATTTTCTTAATGTTGGGCAAATAAGCAATGCCAACCCTATGTGCTACGCTGCTCTGCAACGAGAAAAGGATAAAGCATTTATTCAATGAGTAGAGGTGTTTTCCGTTCAGATCACTTTCAAGCCTTCTCTTAACTGTTAGTGTATGCATCTTTCAGATGCAAATAGAAATCTCAAGAAGGTTGGTTTAATGTTAAATGTATTAATTAGGATGCAGATTGCAAGCCTTACTCCTTTATGATTGTCCTAGCTTATGGCATATCTTTATTTTTCACTGAACTTTGTTTTTCTGTTTACTTGAGATAGATGAAAAGGAGAAAAGTGAGGAAATAGGCCTCATGGGTGTATGGAATAAATGAGTTAAATAAGCAAAAGAACCAATTAACTCATCCTTTTATGCTTCACAAATGAAGAACTATATTCTTGCTGAAATATGAATAGAGATATTCAAAATATTTTATTTTCTCCCCTTACTGACTTTACATTTTCCTCATATTCCAGTAATTATAAAATGTTGGAATATTTTTTAGAAAACATTTGAAATAATTTATTGGATTATATGCCATGAGAGATAAAATGTGAGTTTTTCAATGTGCGCTTATGCCATTTGTATTAAATTAGCAAAGAAGTAAAGCTGCGAGAAGTAAGGAATTTCATTTGCCTTAGGCAGGGTAGAACATATCTCTGAGTTTGTTTTAATAGAGTAATTCTATGGGTACACTGAGTATTACTGATACTGTTTTTCTCTCTGCTTTTGTAATATGGTGCTACTGACTGTATTTTTTTAAAAAAATTATGGGACTTTCTTCAAGCCATTTTTTAAAAGAATTTTAGATCTTTGACTTGCTGGCCTGTTTTAATCCTCAATCCAAATAAATATACATAACTATAATCCCATTGAATACCTCTTTTAAGTACTGCCCTTACAGCCATGTAAACAGTTGAGGGAGGCTGAATGATGGTTGTCCTTCTGCTATCTTGAATTTCTTTCATGTTTTCTTTAGGTTTTTGTTGTTATGTCTGATGTTTTTCGTACTGTGGTATGATTTGAATTATTTTGCTTGTAAGCTGTCCAGAGCCACTTTTTTGTGAGATGGGTGGATATATAAATTTGCTAAATAAATATAGTATAAATATAAAATTGCTAAAAAATATCTTACATAATTATTTTAGAAATTTCAGTATGCAGCTAAAATTCAGATCATAGCGCCTGGCTACATTCAGACGGTTTAGTCCTGGTGAAAGAGATGGGGATCGAAGAAAAGACTAATCCATATAGCTGCCTGCACTGAATGTAATTCATCCCTACCCAATCAGTACACTGGTCTTCTGTCTTATTATGCGCAGAAAAATGTAACCCTACTAGACAGATTCTGTGTATGATATCAAAGCTGTATTTATTTTATTTTGTGTTTCGTTGAATGTTATTAATTTCACACTGGGCTTTTGCAGGTTGAAGATTAGGAATTTAGACCCCCAAAAAGTTCAGAGCAAGTTTTAATAAAACTACTGGCAATGAACATTGGGTATCACCCAGGAAATTAATGCTGCTGTTTGAAATTAATACTGCAAAATTTAATGGAAAACAAATAATTGTAATTACTGCCTGTGTACTGTATTTTTCTTTCATTTCAGTTAATGTTTGTTGTATTTGCACTTTCGTAGCATAAACTGGGATTATGAGGACTCAGATTGTTGGAGACAATATGCTGACTCTGTAAACCACTTAGAGAGGGCTTTAAAGCACTATGAAGTGGTAAATAAGTCTAAATGCTATTGCTATTAGTATGTGTTCAGTAGTAATACTGTTTTCAATATTTTGTCTGTTTGTATGCATGCCTATTTGTATTGCCTTAATATAAATAGAAATTTTCTTCTTCTAAAACCTACAATACCTTTTAATACCATTGCACAAAATATCTCCAAATGGGCAATAATGCTTTTTTGGGGTGATAGTCTTTGTTATTTTTAATTCCAAAAGTGTATATAATAAAACAAAGAGGTGTTAAGTTGTTTTCATACATACGGATAGTACTCTTTCTGTACTTTAAAGAAGTATCCATCACTTATTTGGACTTTTTGAACTGTAATTCTTAATCAGAACATGGAAGATGAGGATAAACAACAGGACTTACAGAAATATACCAATAAAAAAGGGCACAACAATAACCGATTTCAAATTCTGTGTCCATTGAAAAAGCCATTGCATTTACAAACTCCTCACAATAAAATACACAATTTTACTACCAATTTCTGTGTTTGAGTTTGATCCATGCAAGATGAGACCAAACTGAAATGTAGTCAGGTGCACCCACCAGAGAAAAATCCATCTTTTGATTTTTACTGTAGCTTTGATCTGATTTTTCTCAACCACTTTACTCTGTGAGTAAATTTGGCTCTAGTGCATCATCATGCCGTTCCATGTATGCTGCTTTCTCAATATAAGTACCCTTAGAACTTAATGTTCATTTTCTGCAAAATTATTGATCTACACATCTGGCATTTCTATGGCTTTATTGTGCTGATTAGTTATACAGCTGCCATTTTATTTAGGCAAGACTTGTCACAAGGTTTATTGATTTATTTATTGGCAATGCCCTGATATTGTTCAGCAATTAAAACTACTGAAATTTGGATATGGCTCCATTCTTCCACTAACTAAATCATGCATGTTGTATAATTTAAGATTTTTCTCTCTGCTTTTTGGTGGTGTTTTGGATGGCCTTGATACATCTATCATATTAGGAGAGGTACAGGATTTGATTCTTGTGTGAAATTGGAAGATCAAAAACATAAATTTTTTAACTAGAATATTACAAAGACTTGCAAATGTAATGGCTTTTATGAATGTTTAGTATGTTTCATTATCATATTATGGCTTTTGAATATAACATTTATGAACTGTATATGATGAAGTATCATCTATGCATCAACTATGAATGCATCAACTTCACTGAATGAAAGTTTATGTTATGACTTCCTCTGAAGTCACTGTTACCTTCCATCAGGACAGCACAAAACCCTTTGAAACTGAAATTTGTTTGGAAGTTTGAAACTTTAACTCTGACAATAATTTCTATGGGTTTTCAAGTATCAGCTATAATATGCACAATTGTTCTTATGTTTGGGCACTTTATTTGTTGAAAGTGACATAAAAGTGCAATATATAACACTAATGTTTTAAAAGTTTTATGTAAATAAAATGTTTTTATGTGCACAACTAGTTTTGGTATCTATTAAATAAATAATTTTTAGAAATATCAAGCACAATTTCCTTCTTTATATTTTGTCCTCTCATAACTGGAAACATACTTCTTGAAGAGTATTTTAGAAGAATATGTACACCATTTTACATGAAATAAAAAGAGCTTTGTACCCTAGTGTGTTTATCACATTTCGGGCAAAATGACCCCTATTCCGTCATAAATATACTTTAGCACCTTCCCATTTGAAAAAAAAAAAGTCCACTAAGACCTGAGAAGTTAGATATTCCAAAGCTTTGAGTAACTCTTGATTTTTCCTTTGGAAAAAAATATACCATTTTGTTCAGGGTTTTCTAAATAACGTATTTTGTAGCATAAGAATCTTACATGATTGAATGGAAGAAAGTGCAGACATAATATTCTAGATAAGGTTAGGATCATTCAGCCTGCCCTGCTGTTCTGTACTGTCTTCCCCCTCTTCCTGGAAGTTCAGCTATTGACTGAAAACTTGCATCTCCTGAGGCCAGGTTCTGGACCTGTTGTGGAAAGACTTGGGTGCTGGATAGTGAAGATGGATAGTCTAGTGAAGAGAAGGACCAGGGGAGACATGATAGCAGTCTTCCAATATTTGAGGGGCTGCCACAGCGAGAAAGGAATCAAGCTATTTTCCAAAGCACTTGAAGGCCAGACTAGGAATAATGGCTGGAAATGGAACAAGGAGAGATTCAACCTGGAAATGAGGAGAAATTTTCTGACAGTGACAACTACCCACCAGTGGAACAGAAATTGCTTTCGGAAGTTGTGGGAGCGCCATCACTGGAGGCTTTCAAGAAGAGACTGGACTGCCATCTGTCAAAAGTGGTGTAGGGTCTGCTTGGGTGCGGGATTGGACTAGATGACCTACAAAGTCCCTTCCACCTCTATTAATCTATATCTGTATCTGGATTTTGGCATTGCTTCAGCTGAGCTGCTTTTCACCCAGAAAGTGTCTGCCTGGAACAAAAGAATAGGCATGCCTATGAGAAGACAGATGTGGCTTTTGGGGCTTATATATTATTCTGCCCCTTACACACAGAGACCTTCCCATGCTACCCTCATCATAACACTAATGTGTTGAGGTAACAAATGGACAATTAAATGAATTATGTGGGGTGCCACAGGGTTCAGCGCTTTCTCTTCTGTTTTTTTTAACATCTGGCAAGACTAAGAGGCTAAGTGACTTAGCCATTATCTGGCAAGACTAAGACGAAGACTAAGTGGCTTTCAGTTTCAGGACTATATTATCTTTGGTGATGGATTTTGGTTAGTGTTGGACTGTCCCAGACAGACCAGTGCACAATCTGGGGGCTCCTCCTAGACTCCTGTTCACCAAGCAGATGGCAGTTGTGACTAGGAGTGCCTTTGCATAGCTTTACCTTGTACTCAGTTGCACTTGTTCCTAGATTATAGTCATTTGTGTCCTGGTCACTTCCAGATTGGATTATGACAATATACTTTACATGGGGATCCCCTTTAAGAATATTTGGAAGCTTTGGCTAGTACAGAATGCAGTGACTTGGGCAGTTATATACGCTCTTAGAACAGCACATGTTACATTTCTGCTATGTGAGCTGTGTTGTCTACCAGTTTGCTTCCAGGTACAATTTAAGGGTCTGGTGTTAAGACATTCATGACACTGGAGTGGGCTACTTAAGGGACTCCATCGCCATGATTACATCAACATGCCCCATCTGGAAGAGAAGGCATGCTGCAGACACCATTTTTTAGGGACCTATATTTGATGAAAATCCTAGGAGACCTGGATTTTCTGCTGTGGCACCTGCCTTATGGAAGATTCTTCTCTTCAAAATTAAATCAGCTCTTTTGATATTCTGACTGGTTTCCTATCCTTGGTTGGAAAACAGACTATTTTTGATATTGTAAGTTGAAACAACCCTCTTCAGTCTGTATCCTATGTTATTTGAGGAATTTGAGCTGCTCTTGAATCTATAAGAATATCATATTAATAAACTGTATTTCCCATCTAATTAACAGAAGAAAACATTCAGATTATTCAGGTTCAGTATGATGGTTTCTTGGCTAGGCTTCAACTTTAGTGCCAGTAATATCATTTCATGTAGTAAAAGTTTTCTAGATTATACAGCTTTGAACTCATTATCGCATGATGTACAATATAACTATAACTTTGTTTGCCAAGATTTGTGAAGGTAGGACAT